ACTCTAGCTCCATAACTTCCGATCCGGAGCGTATACCTCCAAAATGAGCCAGGCAGAGGTCGGATTCCTAGACTTGGTGACAACTGCGTAAAGTCATTGGGGAGCCGGGTCCAGTTAGCGGAAGAACGTCAAACGTCATTTGCAACCGGCACCATGCATTTGGAAAAACTTAGGTGAAAAAGATGGATCAATGGGTACCCTATGATAATGCCAGAGCTTTCGTCTCAAGAAAACACTCTAGTCCAGAAGTTGAATGGCATCTTTCATAGTCCACGACCGGTCGCGCGATTGGTCGCCGGTCGCTTGTGAGATGGGTCCGCGACCAGCCGCGAGACCGATCGCGCGACTGGTCGCCAGTCGCTAGCGACCGGTCGTGGACTATGAAAGATGCCAATGACCGCAAACACTGCCTCACCCAGCGTACTCCCCAGACCTGCCAGCAACGGATTACCTCATTTTCAAGCACCTAAACAACTTCATCAAGGGCAGGACGGGACGACAGGATCAGACAGAAGCTGAAACTGCCTTCAACGACTTCTCTGTTTTCAAAAGTTCTAATTTCCATCGCAAGGGTAATTATGAACCTTAAAACGTTGGCAGAAACGATTGCATCGGTGCTCGATTTAATTATAAGGTTTGGTCGAGCTATAAATGTTCGAAGTAACGCATTGAAAACGCAGTTTATTTGTACACAAATTAATAGATGCATGTGAAATATTAGGTCGTTCTGAGAGTAATTTCGATTTCTGAGCGTTTCACAAAAATTCCACGCTTTCTTTGCCTCTCGAAAGAAAACTATCACTTATATATAGCCAGTTTGTTAGTAATCTTTTGCCTTCCTTGTGGTAATTTCATACTCGTCCCTCGCCCAAATTCCGGTTTTTCGGCCAAAAAACTGGACCACATTTGATTTGATATCTTCATTTCAGTGAAAGGCTTTTCCATCAAAAGACTTCTGCAGCGATTGAAGTGAAAAGAGATTCGAATGTCGCGAGAACCGGGTTATATGATGGAGTAGCATAAATTCCCAGCCATGCTTTAAAAACTTCTGCCACCTCTCTAAAAATGTATACCATCTGACCTCGCTGTCAGGGCGCAGACACTACCTCGCGGCTATCCCCAACTCAGTGGCATTAGGATACCTGCCTTTTTTGCTAGGTCGAGATTTTCGATACTCTCGTCAACCGTTCCTCTGTACGCGTTGGTCTTAAGAATGGGTCAATACATGGATCACACGAAGATCGGTTTCGGTAAATGTCATTAAAAGATCATGATCCATGCCTGGTAGAGAGTCCAACTCGATGTGATAAACTGTTGAAACGAAAAGTTGTGAGCCAGTGTTCACATGTGCTCTGTTATAGACGCTGTCACCTTATATTTCACATATCATGAAAAACAGACAAGATGGAAATGAAGAAGTAATATGTGCCGAAAATGCTCCAACTGACACACAATGCTCAAATTGTTCCTGAAATTACGAATGGGAATGAAACTTGACCTGCTCAGTTTTTCTCTAAAAAAGTGCAAGTGTATGTCTGGAGTATTTGTTAAACAGAAGGCGTTCAAACTTTTGGAAAAATTCCAAAGAGGGGCTCCTGAAAAAATCGTTCCCAAAAATTGAAAATACCGAACGACATAATAGTAACCATTTAGTATTACTTGTGTTCGAAATAGAATGGTGCTCAGTTACACTTTAAAAACAGTTTAAATCAAAGTCCGAGCCTTCCCTTTTGTGAAATGACAGGCTCCTGCAAAGCAGTGAGACATCCCGTGAACGTGTGAAACAGTAATCCCCCCCCCCCCCCCCCCCAGCGAGACATGAAAACACTATTTCAAGGAAGTATAGATCTAGAACAGCAAGATCGTAATGCGAAAAGCTTTGAAAGAACGATTTGGCTAAGCATTTTGTAAATTACGCCACCGGTCATGGAGGATACAAGGCAGCTGACGATGCTTACTGCATGACATCACCATGTTAGTCAAAAAGAGGATTTCTCATTCAAATATGAAATAATATGAATGCATCCGAAATGGTCAAAATCTTTGCAAAAGAGGCGGTGGGATTTTGGGAAGAAACTTCATTCTCACTATTAAGCTAATTGTAAAAAGAATGTAGGGCTAGTGACTGAGAGAATTGGGGCGAAGCCGATCCATAACATCGCCGCGATTAGGTGGGTGTGTGACTCTGCGACAAGGCCGTAGCTGTTGCACCCCCACCCTGTGTCAACGGAACATTTCTGTGAACATTACCAAGGTCACTCAAATCTGTCCGAAACAACAATTACAGCAGCAATTCAAACAAAGACGACCAGACAGTGTTTTCAACATTTCTGAGAGCATGTTACTCTGAATACAACTGGGATTACGGTCAACTTCCTGAGGATACGAGCACTGAAAATTTAATACCTACTGGGAAGCTATTGGGACAAATACTTAGAATTAAGTTCAAAACAAATGTTGGCAAGGACATGCCAATATTATCAGTTATTCATCATGACCATAGAGAACAGTCAATTGTGGTATTGCTCTTCTATTTGAGAACGGTCGTATGCCGAGAGATTAAAATCCAGTTGGCAAAAATATATGCTCCCCAATGCATACTTGGCAATGACATACCAGAAATCGTTCCCAGCAAAACTGGATATATTCAGTTTTTGTCATGAACGCAAGAAGAAGTAGAAAGTGATGCACAAACCGATAGTCAGTGAACCAAGTAATTCAAAAGAAACCCTAACCACGAAGGTGCTGCGATGGGAATTGTGCAGGGGAAGGGCTCCTCGTCGTCCAAATACAGAACGCAGTCGCTCCACGTTGCGCAGCGGTTGTTGAGATTAGAGCATAGTTGTTCCACTACGAAAAACATCTGATGGTGAGATGTCATTATTGACAACGTGGTGTTCAGATCATAGCACAACTTTATTTTGGAAGCAGATCCTTCTTTGTTTCTGACTATGGCGACCGCTGCAATTGTACAGGAGAATATGAAGGTATCTAGTTTATTTTTGAAGTGCTAGTAGGTTCCGAACTATTCTCGATTTCAAGATGGTATTGGATCTGATTGGTGACGCCTGTAATAAATCCGTTATATCGAAAAGATGCAGACTGGTGGCCGTATCAAAGACAAAGTCAGAAGAGCTTATTGCTGCTTGTTACGCAATGGGTCAACGGCATTTTGGCGAAAACTATGTACAGGTGAGGCTGCACGGACCTAAAGGCACAGTTCACGATAATTTTGGGTAATCCAGATTATGATGAAAAATGGAAGACAAGTTCGAAAATAGTGCGATGAATGTGGAGAAACAGCGTGAATCGGTGCTTCCAAAGTGAAAAAAGGCTTCGAAAAACCGTTGAAAGGGGACTGAACGAGAATGGGACAAGGAAAATGAAGAAGGGTGTGGCGCTGGGACGAGCTATACAATGTGTCTCACTGCGTACGTGTGGGTCTTGGTGCGAATAACGGACTACGGTAGGCAAAAATTCATTCACTTATAAGCATAAGTAAACAAAAAAACCCAAATAACAGCAAAAATAGCTAACCTGTTCAGCCCTCTTGGGGTAGGAAATTAAAAAAGAGATCGCGGCAGCAAAAAGAATCATAGAGGAGAAAAGAATGGGAGAGAAACATCGCCTCACCACTCGGCGATCAGCTGGTTGTGTGTGGGACTTAGAACGAATAGTTGCAATCTGTATTGTCTCGACAATCGTCTGACGTGATGACGTGACATCGATCGAGAGGCGGGAAAGCCATTGACGTTCCCGCCCATTGAATTATCGTGAACTGTGCCTTTAATGGTTGATACAATTATTCACAAAGTGTATGTGTGGTCCAGTGGTTATAAGAACTCTGGTGATAACGGAGTATAAACACGACAAATGCTATAGAAATGCCGCGTTACCGCAATAAAAATACGAAATAATGGTAATTAATAGTTTATCTGATGCAACATAACTTACGTCTTGCCCTTTACGCTGCTCGAGGAAAAAGTGGGGACCACGCTTCTGATGGTCCCGCTTGACATCGCACCATTTAAAGCGTGGGTTAATTTATGGAGTCGTCTCAGACGGTGAGACGACAGGATATTGGTATGGCATCGTCGTCGTAGACGACGATACAAGGATGAGAGAGTTACGATAAGTTGTGAATGATTTCGTTGTTCTGGAGTTGCTTTGTTCAGACGTTCTGCTCGAAGTTTTTTTTCAGAAATTTTTCTTACATGAATTACCGCTCATTTGCTCTTTCTGCCGAAAACTTGCTGTTAAGAAACAGGGTATCGTTGGGTACTTTCAGAGTTCAACGACGAGCATTCTTTCGACTGCTTTCAGAGTTCAATTATTGCCTTCCGACCGACGGTGTTGCTGGCTACGTGTTGACAACACCGGACAGGTTGTGTACAGGAGCTACCTTCAGAGTCCGCCGGACCGCCCCGCATGCGCACGTGCCGGCCGGCGACGCTAGCCATTGTTGACACCACCGGCACGTGAACCACCGGTGTCCATTGCTTCCAACAAGTGGCTAACGCCGCCGCCGGCCGGCGGACTCTGAAAGCAGCCTGGGCTGCAAGAGTTCATTAGGGCGCGTAATCCATCGACATCCAGTACTGTCAACACTTGGCTAGCGCCGTCAGCCGGTCGGTCGGAAGGCACGCCGGTGAGCTCTGAAAGCAGCCATGCACGTCAAGCACTCCTTCCTGTCAATCTCGCATTTGTAAATGTCAATTGCCCTTTGCCGCTCGAAAAGTCTGAAACTTTTGAGGACTGTAATCGGTGGCGATATTTTCAAAGGGAAATAGCACGTTATAATGTGATTCGTCTATTGAAATTTGCTGGATGCAGTGAATACTGTCATTGCCCACAGCATCTCATGGATACATACGTGTTATGTCTAGTTTCGTACTTTCAGCGCTTCTCACACCATTTTTATTCCGCTCTATCGTCCAACTACCCAGAACCCTTGAGGGTTTTCTCCTTTTCTCATATTAATTTAAAAATGTTGGTTTCAGGAACTGGAAGAAAAAGCTAATGCTCTCCATCAACAATGTCCTGAAATAAAGTGGCATTTCATTGGCAAAATTCAGTCCAATAAGGTATATACATATATAATTGGGTAAGATTCTCCAGAATGCGAGGAAGGTGGTATTTTTTCACGTTATTCGTCCTTTGTTTCGAGTTCAAGAAAGCTCCTGAGCCCGAAGCTGATTGTTCAGATTAGCAAGATATGCTCGTTGCCCTCTTTATACTGTGTTGAAACTATCGAGTCTGCCAAACATTGTGACATGTTCAATAGGGAAATGGAAAAAAGGCGAAGTACTCTTGACGTTTGTGTGCAAGTAAACACAAGCGCTGAGAACCAGAAAGGAGGTGGGATACAATTTTTTTACAAATCCAGCTACTTTTTTTTCCTTTTTTTTAACCAACTACCTTATTATTAGTACTCGATCTGCATTTCTTATTGTTGATTATCAGAGTAAGATCATATTTTATATGATGATATATATATATATATATATATATATATATATATAATTTGTAGATCCAATTTTAGGATTGTCACTGGAGGACGCTCCTGATCTTGCGTGCTACATAGCGGATAACTGTTCTAGTTTACGTTTTGCTGGATTCATGACTATTGGATCTTTACAAAACAGGTATGCCCTTTCGATAAAGGGTAATCCAAGCCCAATGACATGGTTTAAATAGTTGCCCAAATCACAAATTTAGTCATCTAGTGCCGAATCCTGATTTCGACCGCCTATTTCAAGTAAGAGAAGCTTGGGCAAGGAGAGTCTCACGGTCACCCGATGAGGTAGAGCTTTCAATGGGTATGTCCGATGATTTCGAGGTGGCCATTGCACAGGGAAGCACAAGCGTACGTGTTGGCAGTAAAATATTTGGGCCAAGATTACTCAAGTCTACGTAAAATCTCACACGAAGTGAGGTGTAGGCTACTCAATTCTTCATTCATGTCATATTAGCTTTGTATAAACCTTAAGATTTCATTAGATATTGTGGATTGTAAGACTTTCGTAATCAAAAAGAAATTCAAAAATTCGTGAGAACAATTGCAATGTGCAGATTTCTTGAAAATGGTTTGTTTGAGATCCATTAGGTTCTTGCGAGCGAAGCTCACAAGAAAAGTGTTTTAGGAGCTGTGATAATGTCACCTTACTTATGTCGTTTTTGCTCTTTTTTGTTACCGAAAATGGTATCGTTTCCATGTTGCAACTCTTTTTCCTTTAGCTCCCTTGATTATTTGTGAAATAAATTGCTTTGTTCAGGTGTGGTACATAATTATCTGTTACTACTGCCGTTATACCGTCGATATTAATTTGAATTTCTTAATACTAAGCAGTAAAACGTAGAAAACAATTTTGGTCAAGTATTTCGGTCTAGCTTTGCCTTTATCTCCGTATTTTNTTTTGAGCAGGCCCTTCATGCCGTTTGTCAAAACAGATTTCTCAATAAGCTTGGGTGAACTTAAGCACCACTTTACACCGAGCGGAAGACAAGAGCCTGGAGGGGACATTTTTCGACCTGTATGTGAGTAGCTCGAATTTATTCATTCTAGAAGTTTCGCTACAGTTGAAAGTAGTTCTTCAAAGCAACTACGTTAATTCTGCTATAAATGGTTTTCAGGTTTCAAGTGTCGAGTTTTCGATGGTCCTCCTGGTTCCGCTTACGCAGAGTTCGGCGGAACCAAAGTTCTTGCAAGGGTGTGAGTTCAGTTAACTATTTTCAAATGTCTTCAGTAATACTTCCAATCCGTTATAAATCTCAGCTATGGTCCTATCGATGATCCTAACGGCTGTTCGAATGCGGCATCTTTGTCGGTTCGTTGCGTAGGCGGTATCATTCTTCGTCCCATATCATCTACACCAAAAATTTACTGACATGTTTGTAGTTATAGGTGAAAATAAAGGGACTCTGTAACACTACTCGTATTGCGTCACAAGTTTTGTCTGTTGTCAAAACGTGTGTAATGGTTCACAAATATAGTCAGTGTCTTTTTGATATTGAAGTAAGTTTTCTCTGAAATATTTAATGCTTGAGGCTTTTTTTGTTGTTCTAATGTCATTTGTAGTGTTCATTCATTGTTCATTATCATTTTTATCCATGAACGTAGAACAGAGTGGTGAGCAAAATCACCGGTGCAAAGTTAGCTAATTATTAATTGTTGAAGGTAACAGTGCTAAACGATGAGGGTGGATTACTACAATGTGCATTGATGGCGGCAACCCTCGCACTAGCGGATGCAGAAGTTCTTGTAGGTTATCACGTTAAGGGCCAGCTCTTGCTATCAAATAATCAGAAAAAAATGGGAGTAAGGCACCGTTCTGCGATGTTCTGAAATGAAGCAACCGCATCAATGTTGCCTAGATACTACTAGATGCTTGCATGGAGGTTTTGCAAGTTGAAAAATTGAATCTATGAACTGCTATGGTTTTTCACCTCGGCTAAGCCTGTTTTTCTCAAAACTCCAGATATTGGTGACGAAGGGTCCGTGCGTGGTTCCGCTCTATCAAAGCTCTCTGGACTCTGAATTAATTTTAAATATTGCAGTTTTGTTTGCCCTAGTTATCGCTTGTGATGCATTCTAGTATTTAGGTAGTAATGAAAAGATTCGTAGGCCGACGGCTATTTCACGAACTCCGGATTACTTAGGAAAAGTCATTCCTTAGTTATAGGGTTAGCCATCTTTAGCTCCTCCTTTCTTGCGGGGTCGTGTTAGGATGTTCAATTCCTTCTTCCAATGCCGTTTTCGGATTTGTACAATTTCATGTGTTGGACGTTGTCGTAGCTGCGCATGTGGCACGTTCTTCTTCTGGCGATTGGATTGTTGATCCCACTGCCGAACAAATTGTTGGCGGTTGCTCAGAATGCACACTTGCTGTGATGCCCAATCAAAATCAGGTCGGAGAGCCGGTTCTCATGAAGTTTGTTTTCTTGGGTGCTATACGCTTTCTCTCGATTTAGATAGTTTGCTGCGATCTGCGAGGGTCACATCTTACAAGCTCACAAGTAGATGAGTTCATCACTTTTGCGACTGAGAAAGCAATGAAGTTATATCCGGTGTTACGGAAAGCTTTACTGAATACTCTCCCAGCGAAGGACGAAAGCAGTTGCTGAGTTGTTTCGTAGTTATGCCATTGCTCACTGATGACATTTTTTCTCTGTTACTTCCAATTAATAATGGTTTTATTTTCCTTCTGAACACGATCAACATTCGCTGATCGCTCTGCGTCGAATTGTGTGTTGTTATGTACCTAGAACACTCATGGCAAAACAGGTTTTGTTTCAGAAACGCTTATGATCATGGCGTTCAGTTTTCCCATCTTACAAGGGAAGGATACTTGGTCGCAGTGGCCGTTCAAAATGACATGTATACCCCCGTAGGTGGTTTCGAACGCTGATCTCAAATTGAGTTCCAAATCTGCGAAACAATTCTGGGAACAAAGTTACGGGACCGGTGCCTCCCTGTGTTACACCACTGTACCGAACAAATCACCGAGCCGAGCAAAGCCATCACCTGTGCAACGATGGCCTAGCGGCGTGGCTGAGTGATAGGCATGACATAAAGGTTCGATTCCTTGATGCACCCCTTTGCTTTCCAATAAAATGCGCCCTAAACGCTTGCAAACGCTGGCGTTTTTGGGGCTCAATGTTGGGCATCTACATGGCTCCCTCGCAATTTAGAACTCCGGGGAATAGTAATCCAATAAATTTTTTTTACCACTACTCACCGAATATTTACGCCTCTTTACCCGGAACAGTCAAGATGCTGTTTCGAAATCTTTGGCAGCTCCCTGTACTTACGGTAGACTGCGGTCCAATGACCCAGTGCCCTCCTTGGGAGAGATGCGGTCCACATATTCTTGGGATACTATCCCCGCTTTCGAAGCGGTGGTACAAGTTATATGGCATTATTGAAGAAATGCTGTAGAACAGTAGTTTATCGCTTTGTGTGCACACATGATTATCCGCTGGTTCTTGAAGTTAGCGTTCTTTAAGGAGCTCTTTCATGAGGTAAACGTGGTGTTGCGGTGGGATATGATACCACGGTTGTGCTCAAAATCCTGAATCCACCTATGATTTGTCTTGAATTTTCCCCCTACGGGCGTTCATTGTTGATTTAAAGCGATGTCCAGTGAAAATGACTATCGAGCAATGGGAGTTCTTTGTCAATTTTATGATAGCTTATCCTTCCAACTTATTCGCTAATCTCTATATGTAGGCAGATCTGCTAAACTCGCTTGTTTTGCACATGCTAGACGTCATAAGACACCACATGTTGTCAATAATAGACTAACTCGAAAGCTCATGCCTACTTAATTTCTGTAGACGACACTGTCGTGATGATACAAAACGTGCTTCTCATGTTCGAGAAGGTGCGACTTCTTTTGGCACTCCTACTATGGAAAGCTATAGACTTTTTTACCAACACCATAAAATTGGAGCTCATGAGCCAGATCACAAACTTGAAGGTTACGCTTCACTCCGGAGTCTCTATGTCCCCACAAATGTTTGAGGTTTAATTCGCGAAGCTACGGGTCCACCGTCGTTGTCCTCATCAGGGGACCGCAGAGGGTTATTGTGATCGCTTTTCACGGATTCAGCTTATCTATAGTATCCTTCCCTTGTTAGCTCAAACAAAAACGTTCTCTGTAATACCTCCCAGGGTTCCTAAATTGTGAGGGAGCCTCGTAGATGCTCAACATTAAGCCCCAAAAACGTTTTGCAAGCGTTTAGGGCGCATTTTATAGAAAAGCAAAACGAATGGATGCAACAAAGAATCGAACATTGATATCATGCCTGTCAGTCCACTGCACTATCCGCTAGGCCATCGCTGCACAGGTAAGGGCTCTGCTCGGCTCGGTGATCCGTTAAGTACAGTGGGGTAACACAGGGAGGCACCGGTCCCGTAACTTTGTTCCCAGAATCCTTTCGCAGATTTAGAACACAGATTTGAGATCAGCGTTCGAAACCACCTACGGGGGTATACATCTCATCTTGAATGGCCACTGTGACCAAGTATCCTTCCCTTGTTAGAGCAGCGCACCCGAATTAGAAATCGAAATTTTTGGAGACTTATTGCTAAACTCTCGCAAAATGCTTCATTACCTTGAAAGCTCTGTGCTGTTCAAATTTGCTCAGCAACGATGTTGATGGACATGGCTTTTGTTGTACTGGTTTTGCTGGTTATATTGTAGGTTCCGCTTGATTTCTGAAAACTGCGTTTTCCAATAAAAACTAAGTTCTGTTAGAGGTTTATTTTAAGTGAGCATTGACTGCGTTTATATGTACTTAGGTGTATGAGCTATGCTTCTGTTGTTGTTATTTTTCAGAAACAGGAAAGGTGTAATTTCGTGTATCATCTAAGTTGGGAAGACAAAATCATGACAAGCTTACTAACAGCGCAGCAAGGTATGTTGGTCAAATTGGCTTTCGGCATCATATTTCTGATCTCTACTTCCCTATATATTCCTGCATATTGTATTTCTCTACATATTAGTGACGCTCAGATTTGCATACCGTCATGACGCTGAAACATCGTACGTCTTATGGATCTTTTTAACCGCGGAGAGCTTGTTCAGCGGGCAGCAGCATATTTTGGATTTTCTCGTAAGAAGGCGTTTCCCGGTAGTGCGCTGCATTAACTGCTTATGCGTTGCGTAAATCACGGCCTCTGATCCATTACCTGTCTACACTACCTGAACGATGCCCACGAAATACTATGTGCCGATATTTTTCATGACTTATCTTGTCCTCGGGTCTTTGTTGTATACAGGGCCCCGACTTGTGTTATGGCTCATACTGAGCAGC